ACTTTTCGTCCACATTTAAACACTTACTACCGAATCGATGAAAAAAATCAAAAATTTTCGAAAGATATTAGTTGTGAGTTATACTGATTAGTTTTAGATGAAAATCTACCTAGCCGCTAACTGTTGAAAAAAAAATTAAGACGATTTTCATGGAACTTTTTCTGACGATGTATATCATAGTATTATAGAACATACTGAAATATTACGGCCTTACGACAAGTAGTTTAATTTTAAAAACTCATCAAAGTTTGACAAAATGAGTAGTTTTTTTTATGTTTGTTAAAATTAAAATTAGACGATTCACTTGGTATACCGAAAGAGTGTTCGTACGTTTTCAATGATGTGTGATAAATCCACTCAAAATACTTTTTATCAAATCACTCATAAATTAACTTATATTTTATTGATTAAGTCGATTATTTACACATATCGGGAAGTTCATGTAAATGCCTCAAGACAAAATAGCAATACCAACTAGTTATACTTGTAATCAAAATAAAAGTATTTAATAGATTTACAGTACTAATATATTCATTACAAATGCGCAAATTACAAACCGCGTAATAGATTAGTACTGTAATAATTCACATAAATTTATTTTTTCGCATACCAAGATAGAAAATACATTATCATAAAATACTCGAGCATATGAATAGTTTTCGACAGCGAAGTTGAATACAATTAAAATGAATAGAACAATTTATATTATTGAGACCTATAAATACCTAAAATGTACGTTTATTAAAACAATTTAACATCAAATAGATTTCATTAAACACAAGTTCACTACTACTTTTCAAAGTCTAGCCCAATGTATTAAAATTAATTACCGTGTTACCCTATTCATATAAAACGAATGGAATTCTCAATATTCCTAGTAGCTTCACGCCTATCATGAATGAGATCTCGTATCCTAGCATAAAACCAAGATATTTATATATTTTTTAAGTATGTTAAGTATTAATAAGATCATTAATCTCCGTTTTTTATGATTCCATTCCCAAAGGATTTAAAAGGAATCCCGTTTATATTCCGTCAGCAACCATAAATATGAAAATGACTGGAATTATGAAAGGAGAAAGACGATTTAAACAAATTTATAGATTTAAACTTGTTCATAATATTTGAAATATATTCTCCGGTCGGTTGTTCAAGTAATGAGTTTTTTTTAACTGCTAAGTACATGAGATTTTTAAACCAGTGTTTGATTATTGAAGTCGATAATTGAATCAAAGCAATACATTTTGAAATAAAATGTAATTATCTAAATATTTAGTTTATTTTCCTATTTCAATAATTTAGTCTATTTTTTTAATTTAACAATTTCTACCACATAGGCGTATTTTTAGGATTTGGATAGTGCGGAACACGTACCAAAACCGTAGTAAAACATGAAAAAAATCAAGATGAAAAATTCTTAGAATATCATCTTAGAATATAATCTAACCAAATTTTTTCATTAAACACAAATGAAAATTTTTATCTAATCACACAAATGAATACAGTTATTAAAAAACAACAGATTTTACAAAAAAAATATAAAAATTATAAACGATACAGATCTAGTAATTTATTTGACCGTATTTCAGATTAAATAATCAATTCCAGCGTTTAAAATTAGAATTATAACACAGATAATTATTTCTAAAGTTCAAGATATAATGGTCCATTACCATTTAATTTTTTTACATTTTCCTTGCAGTTATTGAATAAATTTAATTAGTCAATTTATACTTTTTAAGTTAAACTCGAAATATAATTAGTGCACAAATATTATATCTTGCGTCGTAATGACGCTTGTGGAAATAAATTGTGTAAAAAACACGTCTTGAATTTTTACTCTTGACGGCTTTGAAAGGCAATAGAACATTTTGCATAACAAGTCTTTAATACAACTTTGTTGTATTTGAAAATGTAAAAAAAACTAGTGGTATATGGCATCGTCCCTTAAGGCAAATTGCTGGAACTTTCCGTACTGTAACGAAATGTTCGAGGAATATTAAATGTTTTCAATTAGATTATTATAAATAAATACTGTAACATTGTCTAATATTTATAAGAATTATATAAACTGAATTGCAAAGTTAGAATTATTTATTTAAGTATATAAGTGAGCTTTAGAACTTTAGCAAGAATTAAAATTAAAATCTGAATTATTTTTGATATACAAAAAACATTTTTTAAAAAAAAGAAATTAAAAAACAAATTTCACAAGCAGAAAGTTTTTTGAATCATTCAAATCGGATGCCAGTCTTTGTTAATAAATTAATCAGCACATCTCTCTATCAATAGGAATCTAATGTTTTTTGAACCATACAAATCGGTTGGTCCGTGCGCCCGAAAACGTGGCCGAAAAAATGCGGACATACAAAAGACACACACACACATCCATTTTTTCTGAGGTATGCCAAAATGTTCAGTGCGAAAACGTGAAGATATGCAAAAAAAAATTATTTTCGATTTTCGGCCCATCACTAAAACTACTCTACAGGAAGTTAAAAATGATTCTAAGGAATGCTAATATTCAACATATTCATTATTACAATTGCTTATTTTTTTTACATCCGATGCAATATGAGTCTTTAATTCGTTTAAGAATTGGATTATTTGTAAAATTTAATATAACATCATTGTTTAATGTGTTTATTCATAACGGGAAGTTTATCGGTTCTCGCAATCAGCAATCTAAACAGTAAACTACACCTGGATTTCTCGATGTTTATGAAATGAGTATTATACTGATAAACATCATTGTAATCTTCTTCTAAGCGAAATATTAAGAAAATCAAACAAGCACAATGTATTTTAAGACATCCGTTCATAAAAACTATGCTTTAATAATTAATTATATAATTAGACAAATACAACCAAAATCAAGGATTGGAATAGTTACATCGGATCAATCAATGGTTTTACACTCGAGAAGCAATTCCGCCTGCAACTTACGAGTCGAAACCTACGTTGAAATATGAGATTAAAAATAGAAGGTAGTAAACCATACGAAATAGAATCACAGTAAATAAACAGAAATATAATCAAAATTATAATAATATTTGTTAATAGTACCTCGGCCGTCAAGGAATCAAACACGAGATATTAGAAAATAATAGGAAAAGAAAATAACACATTTAAAAAGAAAGGGATTCCGGAATACAGATATTATAATGCATTATAATTGTTGGTATAGAACTGAGTAGCACTATTGCAAATAATACTGAAAAGCCCGCCAGAAGGAATTTTTTAAACCGAGGATACAATGACGGAATATAACATATATTCGTTGACTGTTGGGCTTAGCCAACACGTGTAAGACATGTTTATGCCATGAAAGCTCTCAGGTATAATAGTGATTTACGTAGATATTCAGTAAAAAGGATCGCACAGGTAAAAATAACTAAAAACATCCTTTTAATAAATCGCGCTTGTTTTCTTTGGCGCCTGCACGAAACCATATCAGCCGTATCATAACTCACACATATAAAATTGCACAACATTTAATTATGTGTATAATTTTTTGTCTTATAATAGTTCATGGGAAAAACAAGATGCAGAATGAAACCTGTGCATAATTTTTGTCTTAGCAGTATATAGGCAAATTATGATGGATTAGAATGAATTAAAGTCATCACATGACGTTAGACGGCACAGGCAACAAACATCAGTACATCGCCGAATAAATGATTTGCGGATATGTATGTTCTGTGTTTTTACCATCAATTTTGAGTCCCATTATAGAGCAAGAGTATGAGTTTAAACAAACGTTGTAGTAATTTATATATGATTATATGCTTACAATCACAATGTTCTGCTACTTTTGTACCTGTAGTCTTCAATTAGTTTATATCTTACCTATTTTTAGTTGAACAGAAAATCTAAAATTTGAATATGGCCGCTCAAGAAATTCACCCAGCTTAGCAAAAAATTAGTCTAACCTCGTTAGTTTAGCTATATAACGTATATTTATTTAAAAAACTGCATTTAAAACAAATAATTATTTATCGGAAAGTTTCTGTTTTCAATCTGCGTGCCGGAAACATAATATACTAAAATCTATTGCATAACTATATAATGTAGCGCAAGTGTTTTTTGCGAATGTAATTTTATCTATAAAAAATCTAATATAACTATATATAGTAATAATATAACAATAATAAATTTGCCTAAAACTATGTTACATCACCATAAGGTATTGATAGGTTTGAGACAATAACCAATTCGATGATGATAGTCGTACACATAAGCAAACTTTTAGACAAAACCCTTAAGCGATATTAACAATGTTACCACACTAAAGCATAATTAAAATCATTTAACTTAAACTCTCAGATAACTTAAAAATCATTTAACTTATTATTTTTAAATATTATCTCATACGAAGAAATAAATAATTCTCTAACCCGTAGAAAAGCCAAAAATTGTTACAATAAAGTTTTTAGTATTTTTGGAAAGTTATTCTATTGAATATCGTAGTATCATAGTATAAACTAAGTTCGTACTCTCCCTCCTGGGATTATATAAAAGAAATTAGGTTCACTCTGAAATGCATGTTAATATTTGACACAAATTCGTAACACAAAGAGTAAATCAATCAATGTGTATCATGTGTACAATAATATGCCCCATTTGGAATTTATTTTACATATGTATATTAACCCCATTACAAATTCTTTACATTGAAAACCTTATCACAGTGCATCTGCCTAATTCATAATCCATAAATAATATAAAACATAGGCGAACAATATGAATGAAAAGAAAAAAAAAAAGACCCTTTGAAGGTGTCTTGAAAATATGTAGCACAGCAATATAGATCTACAAGCAATATAATATAATATCGAAGTATGTGTTCAATATCAACTCCCAAAAAACTCTTACTAGTTTATGGTGAAATTATAATAAATGCAATGTATAGCAAGGTCCTTTATTTAGATCAGAATAAAAGTCAGAACAATAAAACCTCAGAAGGTATGAGACAATATATGTGTAACCAAACTTTAATTTCAATTAGATCGCAGCCGAAATTTGAAATTTAGTGGTTGATCGGGTTTATTAATTAGGAAGGTCTTCGAATCTAATGTTGTTCCACCCCAACTGATTTCGAAATTTCTGATTAACTAAAAATAAATAGAAATTATATTTATCTAAAATATCTTATGATAAGAGTACTAGTTGATTAATTTGCTGAATATTCAATGAATGTTGTATGTATGTGTCTGAGACATAGGCTAAGAAAGACTACCTGGAGGGATTTGAAATGTTGTGATGAAGAGGAATGAAAAAAATAAAGTAGACAAATAATATAACAAATGGAAAAATGTAGGGTAGAGAGCAAACAAAAATTCATGGAGCATGACCATGAAAAGGAAAGGACACTGGATTGAACATGGGTCCAATCCAATTGCAAAAAGAGTAACTACTACAACATCCTTGAAAGTAAAAAGGATTAAAAGGTCTAGGAAGAAGAAAAATGCAAATGATTGATGACTTACGCAAAAGGAGAAAATATAAACAACTAAAAACCAAAGCAAAGAACCGGAAAGCATGGAAGCAGAAGTTTGGAAAGAAAAACATATGTCAGTGTATAAAAACATGAATACCTGAAATACAAATAATAGTAATAGACAAGAAAGGAATAGGCAATTAATGATATGTGATGCTCTATAATAATTATAATTATGTTCATACATATAATCACACTAATCCGGCACTACTAAAAACCAGATGAGTGCCAGGTTACTGCATTATAGTAAGTCATAGATATTTGTTTATAATATAAAAAAATAGAAACATTTATTGCACACCTATCTGATTGATATTAATGCAGTGATAAAATTATATATGAGCTATAATGCATTCAAATTAATTTTTAATATACGATATTGAAAATAGCAGAAAAATTTCAAAATGACTTTGGTGGATAAGGGTGTTGGTCTATCAAAGTGCCAAATTAGTGAGTTTTCACAGTTTATATAAATGGATATGAAGACTGATTCTCACATATATATATATATATATATATATATATATATATATATGTGTGTGTGTGTGTGTATGTATATGAATTTCTAAATCTAAATTATTGAATATTAAGAGAGTTATACTTGAGGAAAACGCTAAACTAAAAGACAATCTCTCTACCCACTTAGTTCTAAAGTAAGAGAAAAATTAAAATAAATACCCGTAATAGAAGCACTTGAATATTTTGTTCAGCAAATCTTCTAGCCACACAGGATCTCATTCCATATCCAAATGGAAGTGATAAAAACGGATGAGGTACTTGGAATGTATCTTTAATGTCAAATTTATTTATTTCATTAGTGAAATTCTGTGAATCTTTATTCCTCATTCTTGAAACACTCTTATTTGATTTTAACCATCTTTCTGGCAAAAACTTGTCAGCTTCTGGAAAATTTTTCTCTAGACGACATATTACTTGATTTTGTGTAACAGCAACAGTCTGTTAAATAGACTATAATTATTTACCACTTTATACCCCTTTCGATCTAAATAAGTTATTACATGAACTTTTATACATAAAATTCAATAAGCATTGAAATGTATTTCTTACATGCAATATATAATTATATATTTTAAGGCAAATAAATAATAATATTTGAAAATTCATTTTTAATAATTTTTTTCAAACATTCAGATTATTGCTATCTTTGAAACCATCAAAACAGTAAAATATTAAAAAAAGATATATGTATAATAAAATTAATCAACTACTACTAATTATTATGAATAATAATTATTTATAGTTATACTTACACCGGCAGGGATGTGGTAACCGGACAATATAGTATCTTTCTTAATTATTCTTCCTACACCTACAGATATAGGATTTAATCTAAGAGATTCTTTTAACACAGCACGTGCATAAGAAGCATTTTGAAATGATTCAAGTGTCATTGGAGAATTTTTAGTCTCCAGAATTTTGAGGGATTCTTCATATAGTTTTTCCTGCACATGAGGATTTATAGCCAAATGGTAAAGAGCAAAACTAGTAGCATAAGATGTCTGAAATTTATAAGAGAAAAACTAAGTGATTGGTCAGTATTTGGTCTTCAATGACAATAATTAGAATAAATATAAAAATCTGATTGAATCCAAAAATTAAGAGGTAAATTAAATCTCCTATCTTTATATACAATTTTAATATGAAAAGTGCAAATTTCATATACCGTATCAACACCTGCTAATAAGAGATCTGCAGCCATTCCAATAATGTCCCGAAAATCAAGTTTTGGATTATATATATAATTTTCTAATAGGGATTTAGAGCCTGATTCAGCTGCTGTAGCATCTGTATAATAAGAAAATTTTTGAGATACTAAATCAACAGCAACACTGAAAGAAATTGCATATATGATAACTTAACTTTACTTTAAATTATAATAAATTGATTTTAATATATCACCTTTCCATATATTTTTGAGCCCTTTCAAGTTTCTTATATTTCAATGTGGGAATAAATTTCCATAAACCAATGCCTTGGTCAGTTCCAAGTATACAACTATTAGTATCTTCTGCAGCTTTTATCAACCTTGAACTACGTGAATGAGAATCTAATTCTTCTTTAGAAAAACTGTTCATGCGAGTATCAAAGGCCATATAACATACCACTAGAAAAATGCAAAAAATATTAAATGTTATTTAAAAATGTATAAAAATAGTGAACATATAAAAAAATAATATGAATATATAATATAAATATATAAACAAAAAAAGGTGAATGTTTCAAATTTGCTGATGAAGAACATTCAATTATTGAAATTTTTTTGTTCATTTCCCATAAAACATACTCGGCATATACTGAACATATTTGTTTTACACTTTTACAAACTTCGTTGTACTTACATTCCAAGTTTAATCTGGATATCTCTGGTAAAAAGTCCTTGCAATCTGAAGCTATTTCATTGATATGATGACAAAATTCTGAAGTAATTTGATCAGCAGATTTAAAAAATTGGCGAGCACAATGTGGCGCACTTAAACCTTTCTGAAACTCACTGCGTAGTTTCCACCACTCTGCTCCATTGCTAACAAGCACATTCAATAATTATTACTTCCACTAAAAAAACTTAGAACAGTTAAAAAACTGGAAAAGGTATTAAGATGTGTATGAGATGTAATATTTCAATTGAAAGAGGTAACATAAAATATATATGATTTAAATAAAAGAAATTCATATATATATATATATATATATATATATATATATATATATATATATATATATAATGAAAGACTATCAATAATTATACTTCAAAAAGTAGACATACATGTACTGTTGAATTAAGAAATCTTGTTATGCATGTGGATTTTAGTAATTAAATTCAAACCAAGAACTTGATTGATAACATAATGGATAGGATTTATAGAAATATTCCCTGATTCACAAAAGTACACTGAGATTTGTAACATTTGATTTAATTTCTTAGCTTTTTAATTCATCGAGTTTGCATTCAAAGACATACGTTGGAAGTAATCCACCACTATTGTAAACATGAGGACGGTCCTCACGAAACTTTTGTAAAGCTAAATGACTTCTACGTTCAGGAAAAAAGTTTTGTCCTTCGTCCCTCAAAATAGTAGTAATATCATCAGGCTCATAAACCCACAGTAAGGTTACACCAGGTGCAACAGGTTCACGGATTAAAGAACCCCATGTTTTATACTTCTTCATACCAGTATGATGAAGGGCAGACCATCGATATTTGCCTATAATATTATTTCATAATTTAGTTTATATAAAATGTAATGATTGCAACAATATAGTAACAAAAATATTTATCTACACATATTTGCAATTTTATTATTCCTAAGTTTAAATATATTTATGTATTACACATACATATTATTGTACACAACAAATAATAAGTCTTATTTAATTTAATAACTGAAAGTGAAAATAATCATGTAACTGTTTTAATATAAGGTAAGCATCATTACTAAAAACAAGCAATTTAATAATAAAAAGTACTGTTTATTAATTAAATTAGAATTTAATGTTTTTATTTTGATTCATCGAATTCCAATATTATTAAAGCATTTTAAACTATATTATTAACTATTGAATTATTAAATAAAATACTAGCAAACTTAAACTATTATTATTATTAACTAAAATGATATTATGTGACTTCGGGTAACAAACTATAAAAAAATTAAAGTTTTCAACAGTGAATACGCAATAATGAACAATAAAAAAAATTTAGTTAATATGTTCATATAAAATCTTAAAGTTGATATCGGCATATGTATGATTTGAGAGCTTAATAAGTGAGCTTGACATCATATACATGTATTTAGTTACCTATAATAGGCCAGTACATCCATAATGTACCAAGAACAGGAATCGGCTTTGGTCCTGGTATTTCATTAAATGGTCGTGGTTCCCTATGAAAATCCCAGAGATTATATTATGTTACCTTTACTGAATGCAATTAATAAATAAATGCATACTTACTTTACACTGGATGTACTCAATTCATTTCTCAAAACAGAAAAAAATGATTTATAGGAAAATTGTTTTTTTAGTCTAATCATGCTGCTTGTATAATATCAATAGGTAGAATGCTGCAATATATCTTCATGCTCTAGAGAGTTTCTAAATGCTAACATATTCACATTATTTATGAAAATTTATGTTCATGGAATTTATATCACTGTATAAATTTCCCCGAAGGTCTGAATAAAATTCAATATGTTAAAACATGCCTCAGCACAGTCGAACTTTTATTTGAGTTGAATAAACTTACAAATTGTGAAAAAACCTTCTGGCTTCGGATACTTTTGCCGACTGTGACATTTTTCATCTTCATTGTTGTTTTGATTGACTAAGCCTGAAATAACTAAAAAATAAACACTTCTCCAGGCGTATTTATGAAAAAAAACTGATAACACAAACGCGGCCATACCAAAAGGTATGGCTTTTTCGTTTTAAACGAGAAACAGATGAAAACTTAAAACGGTTTTCTGTGAAAGCATATGAAGTGCGCATGTTCGGAATCCGATCAGCTAAACATGGTTTTCTTTGACTTTTATGGAAACTATTAGAAAACTAGTGGTGTATGTTATCGTGCCTAAAGGCAAACTGCTGGAATTTTCCGTTCCAAAAATTATTTTTTTTTAAAAAAAGATTTAATTTTTTTTTAACTTTGAAAAAAAAAATAGATTTTTGAGAAATCTTACATTTTTGAAAAAATTAACTTTTTTGAAAAAAAACTTGAAAAAAATGTTTTTTTTATTTTGAAATATTTTGGAAACTTTGAACTTTTCTTCAAAGCAATCCTACTGCTTTAGGTGCATAGAGATGAAATATCGAAGCGCGTAAGCGCTGCATCTTCTACAACGAACAAACGATGTCACAGAATCGATTGATAGAAATGTAAACAAAATTGATACATATTATTAAAATCTCCATAAAATAACTGATAGTTTGATGTGAATAGTCGACGAAAACTAAATATCCGCATACACAACCGCACACACATACACATACACACACATCCATTCACACATACACACACATTCATAGATGAAAGAAGAGTATATATATATATATATATATATATATATATATATTAAATTAAAAGAAGATTCGCTGAGGGATTGTTTTTACAATTACATAACGACAAAGTCATAAACAAACGGTTTGACAATACGGCCCTGAACGAGACTAACACATGGTTCCTTAATAGCGTGTCAAAATTTTTTAACTAGCTGTAAGTGGAATTCTGTCTTAAGGCAATTAGGGCATCGTGCCTTAAGGCAAATTGCTGGAACTTCCCGTACCAAAAATTATTATTTTTTTTAAAAACGATTAAAATTGAAAAATTGAAAAAAAAATTACTTCGAAAAAATAAGATTTTTGAGAAACTATAAATTGGACAAAAAATTACTTTTTTTTGAAAAAAAAATTTTTTTAAAAAAAAAAATTTTTAAAAAAAAATTTTTTTTTAATTTTTTTTTTTTTTAAGAAAAATGTTTTCTTTATTTTGACATATTTTGGAAGATCTGAACTTGTTTTTCAGAGCAATCGTACTGCTTTAACTGCATAGAGATGAAATATAAAGCGCGTAAGCGCGGCGTCGCTGTCTAACGGGTAAACATTGATACGGAACCCATAGGAAAATAAACAAAATTTATACTTATTGTTAAAATCTCTATAAAATATCTGAAAATTTGATGTGCATATGTCTAATGATCATTTTTGACCGCCAAATGGCATTTTTTTTTACTTTTTTCGTTATATCTCCGAAACCGCTAGACCTGCCTTTATGAAAATTTGATCAATTCTTTATCTTGTCAATACAAGTAAAATGTTTTTTGAATTATTAAAATCGGACTTTCCGTTCTCTTAAAAACTGAGTTACCGTTTTCGGCACTTTTTGCCCCGTATCTCCGGAACGGCTAGACCTGCCTTCGCCAAAAACTAATCAGCACGTCTCCTTATCAATACGAATCGAATGTTTTTTGAATTATTCAAATCGGTTGATCCGTGTTCCCGAAATCGTCGACGAAAATTTGTATCCGCACATACATACATACACGCACACACACACACACACACACACACACACACACACACACACACATACATCCATTTTTTCTAAGGTATGCCAAAATATTCAGAAACCTTTGAAACGTAAAGATATATAAAAATTTTCATTTTCGATTTTTTTGCGATTACTATAACTTACCCTACGGGAAGTTAAAAAATGACAAGATCCCATCGCTTTTTAAATTTCCCGTAAAATTTGAACACATGCTAAAAACTGCTTTAAAAAAAAATGTGACATTTCTATCTTAAACTTCGAACAGTATATACATAGTTTCGACAACTTGTTAAGTTATCATAGTTAGTGTGTTTTACCATTTGTGATGTTAAAAAATATATATTTTATCAATGTGCACATACTCACACCATGGATTAATAATGGTATAATATATTTTGATAACATTTAGTAATCATACAAGGTAAGTTAAATAACATTTTGTAAGAATTATTTTAAAACTAAGTATAAGATAATATGGAAAACCAATGCAGGTTATTCAATTTTGTACAAAATAGTCAAACATATTGTCTTCGAATTCCATCAAGTGGTTTTCAAATTTTTGAATCGGACAAATTTTGGCTCAAACACACTTTTTCCAAGTTTTGATATCAGACAATTCAAAATGATTTCAAACGTCGGGAAAAAATAAAATAAGCAAGGTGAATTTTTTGGCGCTTTAGAGGCTTCAAAAAATCGCTTTTTTGAGAAAGATATATGGAAGGAAATAAATATTTAATTGAAACGAACCTTTCAGATTTTATTGGTATATATTTCCACATTTGTCTCAATTTTTTCATTAAAATATATGTCTATAATATGCCGGGTACAAGCATTTTGCCGATGCGTCACGAGCGTGCAGGTGTCATTTGGAGGGAAAGATGCAGGTCACAATTTCCATCCAAAATAAAAAAATCAAATAAAATACATATTTTCAATAGTATAGATTCTAGTTGAAGTCGAAGTTTAGGGATAGTATTCATATTCATGTTTAGTTTTTGGAAAAAAAAATTTTTTTTTAAGCCTCTAAAGCAGACTCTCCCCTTAAAAAATTAATGATCGATATTTATAAAGCGCAGCATAGTTATTAACTACTGTCGCAATTGTTCTGAATATAAATATCTTAAAATGCTTACTCACAATTAGTTAAAAATTTAATATTTATTTCAATAAACTAATTGCCTACATATTGATATTCAAAGTTTGAATAGCAATATGTAGGCAATTAGTTTATTAGTTTGAATTTCAAACACACGATCAAATTAAAATAATTCAATTGCTATAGACATTTATATATTTTTTTAATTCTCCTAAGAAAAAAATTTGCATCGAAAAAAGCATTACTTGTTCTGAATACATTTTGTTATTTAAAACCATTCACATAGTTCATTCAGACTTTTATTTTGCTGTTTTTAAAATAATTATTTTAAAAGGCACAACTTATAGTACTCACGAATACGCAAATAGCTACGCCGATAATGTGTTACATTTCTAAAGATTTTCAAACTTTTGTTTCAATGTGCCAAGAAAGTAGACTTATAGATGTGCTATTGCCGATTTGAAATAATTTGAAAGTGAGAAATGAATTCTTCTGCGTATGTATATGAATTTTATAATAAACACGAAAGCTTTTTAAATATTAGATGCTCAAAAACTTTTATCGTCTCCATACAATTTGTACCGCTCTATATATATATATATATATATATATATATATATATATATATTTCAAAGTAACTAGCAGCCAATATAAATATATATATATATATATATATATATATATATATATATATATATATATATATATATATACACATATATATATATATATATATATATATATATATATATATACAGGGCCGGTCCTGCCTTGCATGCGATGCATGCAAAAAATGCGGGCGCACGCCTTAGGGAGCGCCAAAACGAGTTTCGGAAATTAAATTTATAATATATTGTTTATATTTTTTATTATTTATATAAAATCTAGAATACTTGATAACTAGGGATATGGAGACACAAAAAGCATATTTATTTTGCAATGTGATATCAGTAGAAACATTTAACCGATTAATAACTCTGCAAATTAGTAAATAACAGCTCTGTTTATTGCTTATTATACTTATTCAATTTTTTCTTTGTTTGAAGTTACCGTGGAATCAAAAAAGAAATTATCTAGTGTTGAATCTCATAAGCGCAAACCTGCGAAATATGAAATTAATTATTGGGCATTATAGACGAAAAATTGCGAGCTGATTTAGTTGAAACAGAACTTGTTAAAAAATATAAACAAATTATAATCGGGATAATGAAAAATGGGGAGTCTGTGCTTAAATAATGGCATGTTTATTCCGAGAAATTGAATTGTAACTTTTGTTTTTGTTGCAAATGTTTCGCATCTGATGAACTTTGAAAGATATGCGTGGTTAGGGTTATGGAAATGAAACAAATATAAAAAATGAAAGCAAAATTTACTTTGGAACGAAAATCTTAAGGTTTTTTTTACCTAGTGATGTCCATACTCTAAATTTAATAATTATTAACTATGCAGAAATAATACATATCAAATATAATTAGTTTTTTTCAATATAGTTTAAGAAATGTGTAATTTCTTTGCATTTTTTACTGATTATTAGATAATACTTCTAAAATACGTTAACAATTGATCACAATCACAATTAAAACAATCTGATACTTTGAATATGACGGGAAAGCAAGGATGAATACAATTCGGCTCTTACGATATCAATAAGGAGAAGATTACGACGCAATTTTGGATATTGTAAATAATAAAAAATTAAATTAACGTAAAATTTAAAAAACCCAACATGAAATACGAATGTTATGATTGAAAATAAAAAGCTAGTTTTATTAGTTTTCTTGGCATGATTTACTCAATAGAATAAGAAGCATAGTAAATAAGTAAAATGTTTCAAAACCCAAATATTAATAATGCAATACGTTAAAAATAATTGAAAATTTAAAAATATTTGATTATAATCAACCCACGAGTGGCCTACATTTTCTAAATAAATCTAAAATCAATGTATTTTATACGCTTTTAGATTATATCTAATTTTTTGCGTGCTAAATCCAGAACAATTAAAAATTAATTTAAAAAAATATGTAATTTTTATATAATTTTAATAATAAACTGTTAAAACAGTTAAAATTAATAG